TATTTCTCGACCTTGGGCTTGTTAGCCTCAGCAGCCAGTAGCTGCCTGAGTGAAGAGATGCTTCTAGCTTCAGTGGACCGGGAGCAAGAGGCAGAGCTGAAGCCCAAGGTCGAGGGGCTTTCACAAAGACCCTAGAGCCTGGCACTTTGAACTCAGACTTCTAGTCTCCCGAACTGTAAGAGAATAAACTCCTGTTTGTTAAGGCCATCCCATTTGTGGTGTGTTTTTGTCAGAGCAGTACTAGGTGATCAGAACAGAAATGTTTTAGGTTCTGTGGGCCAAAAGGCAAAAGCAAAGTAACACACATGTATTCATGCAACAAGAGAGAAAGTAATTTCCATGTAATTCTTATTGAAGTTAAAAATATGAGTAAGTATACTCTTTAGCCTTACAGATCTAATACTCAGAAGAACATATTCTCTGGGGGGTGGGATTCTACACTTAAGGAGCCCTGGTGTCCCAGTGGTTAAAGCGCTTGTCAGGTAACCAAATGGTCGGTGGTTCCAACTCATCAGATGCTCTACAGGAGACATACATAGCAGCCTTGGAAACCCTATGGAGCAGTTCCACTCTGTCCCACAGGGTCACAATGACTTGGAATTGACAGGATAGCAATGGGCAGTATTTCACTTAACCAGGGTTCACACTTAGTATTCTCTATCCCCGAAAAAGGCTGCAATGTTTCAGTCTTCCCCAAGCATTTAAAAATGTAAAAACTGTTCTTTACTCAGCAGACACAACAAACAGGCAGCCCATCCAATTGGGCTCCGAGCAGTAGTGGGCTGTGTGAGGCAATCGATACATTTCTAATTAAATGAATTAAAAGAAAGGCAGGCATGTTTTTCTTATCGCACCTGTCTGTCACCGTCACCGTCACCGTCACCGGACGCACCAGCCTACTAAATATTAGGACAGCGGTTTTAGGAGTCAAACAACAGCTACCAAATCGATCCACTCATGGTGACCCCGTGTGTCTCATGCAGGGCCTTCTGGTACCTCAGGTCCGACACCAGATTCTAGAGATAACAAAAGCCCTCAAAGCGAATCTCATTTAGGTACTGAGCTGGTTTCCATAAAAAAAGTCAAGAGTTCTAGAAAAGAGGTACCCTATTGCTGCAAAGGAGCTCTGGTGGCGTAGTGCCTAAGGCATTTGACTGCTAACCAGAAGGCTGGCGGTTCAAACCCACCAGCCACTCCGTGGAAGGAAGGTTGGGCAATCTACTTCCATAGAGATACCTCCTTGGAAACCTAAGGAGGGGTTGCCATGAGTCTCAATCAACTCCACAGCAGTGAGTTTGTTTTTTTTTAATTGCCCCAAGCCTTTTCTCTATTGCCCTTGGTATTCCGAGACTAGGTGGGGTGGGAAAATCATATTCCCACCAATTCAAGGGATGCCCTGTTGCTGGCTCAGTGCTGAGCCTGGGCTGTTGGGATGCAGAGCTCTCAAGGGCTCCCAAAGGACGCACGAGCTGCTATGTTAGGAGGCACTCTGAGATGCAGCAAATTGGGGTGCACAGCCGCTGCACAGTCAAGGTCACCTAGCATCTCCAAGGAGGAGCACAGGTGTCAGCCGTCCTGGGTGGGCTGGGCTGTTCACGTCAAAATGGGGTGCTGCAAAGAAGGGGTGCTGCGTGTTGTAGCGCTCCTGCTGAGAGAGGCAAACAGTTTTGGAAGAGTGTAAGGCCCACTGTGGAGTTGGTGGAGGGGGGCAGCCCACCCTGCCCCACTGCATTATACAGAGGCCCTGTGGGGGAGCCCACAGGGGACTCTGGGTAAGACACTTCTGGCTCTGCCACCTGCCCCAACCAAGGCCTCAACCTCTCTGCACCTGACGGTTTGTAATGAACAATCTCATAGAGTTGTTGTGACACTTAATTAAAAATGAATATATTATATTAGGGGATACTCCTGCCAAGGTGATGGAAAAACTCAGGAACGATTAATGGTGATGGCTGAACAACAGGAGGAGCGTAATTCACGTCAGCCAACCGTACCTGGGAAAATGTAGAAATGGTAAATGTTCTATCCCCTATACATTATCCACAATAAAAGTTAGTACTTGGAAGGTTCCCAAGTGGCACAGGTGGTCTGTAGTTGGCTGTCAACCCAAAGGTTGCTGGTTTGAACCCACCCAGCGGTTCCACAGAAGCTCCAGGCCTGGGAATGGTTTCCCTAAAGGTTACAGCCAACCTGATTCTGTAGCGGATGGAGTCAGTCCAGATGAACACAAACAAATGCCCCAACAGAAAATTAATACTCGGGATGGTCTTGGGCACATTGGGAGCACCCAGGAAATGCTGGGTGTTAGGAACAAGGAGCCCTGGTAGTGCAACAGGTAAGCTCTCAGCTACTCACAGAAAGGTTGGTGGTTCAAACTCACCCAGAAGCCCTGTGTGTGAGAGCCCTGCAATCTGCTCCCATCCAATGGCCCAGGAAACTCTACGGGACAGTTCTGCTTTCATATGGGCTCACTATGACTTCATGGTACCTACCATTACTAACAGTAGGAAGAACATGGCTTTAAAGACTAGGGCAGAAGTGAGGCCTGTCTTTGGTCCTGCCAGAGGCACCGGAGGCCCTGTGGTCTTTAGTCGATGGCCCCATCTTTCAATCCCCCTGCTGAAATTCACACCAACTTCTGCTTCCAAGCCTCTCCACCCCCAGCACATAACCCTGCAGTCGAGGAAGCTAGAGGCTGACTGCACCTTTAGTACAAGTGGTTTATTTCTCTCCCAGGTGAGGCTACACATGTATGAAGTCAAGGTCTGACCACCTGGCTCCTCCAGGAGCCACCCAGGGAATTTTAGTTCAGTTTACATGCATCAAAAACCTCTTCTAGTTGCCCACAATGAAACGTTAAGAAGCAACACCCTGACGTTGCAGGAGTCCCTATCTGCATGCGAAGCAGACTTACAAGGGGTGGGCTTATGGTACATGGTATGTACAGGCAAATGTGGGTGAGAAACACAGGCCCCGTTCCATCACGGAATTATGTCACAGGAAGTAATGTCACATGAAGTGGACAAACAAGGACATTCAAGGGGCAGGCTTACAGTACATGGTATGTACAGGAAAATGTGGGTGAGACACGGGCCCGGATCTGTTGCAGTGTTTTGATGACAAGGTGGCTCTTCCAAAACAGGAACAGAGCCCTGTCTGAGCCATGGCATCAGTGCGGTGGTGTGCGAGCCAGGGGAGGGCACTCCCTGTCACACACCAACTGGCAGGAGGTTGGAAGCACCAAAGACCCTCATCCTGAATCCTCTGCAGGGCAGGGTGGTAGGCCATTATTCCCTCCTGGCCAACATCATTTCTACCTAGTAGGCACGGTTGGGTGCTGGGGACATGGGGTAGGGAAGAGCCCTGTTGCAACTTCAAGGACATAATTGTCCCCTTCTGCCAAAACCTCTGATGTCAAACTTGCTTGATGACAAAAGGGAGACAGGTGGCTTGGCCATTTGGCTGTCCCTCAAGAACAGGGGCTCTCTTCCCACGGAAAAACCCTCCTGCTGGAGTGGGATGAACCTAGATTCCCTAACAGCAGCTTGAGGAACATCTCACGACCTTTATTTCAAATTCCAGCCCCCCCCCCCAGATCCGCCAAGAAGTGGTCAGTGCCTGAAAAATCTGTCTGGTAGTGTAAAAACCAAGGCGAGGATGAGTGCTGAATCTATGGTCCAAACTGGATGTACCTCGGCCACGGGATCTTTGGATAATCAAGATGTGACACTTAACGTCCTTGATATGTTCTGTGAAACAGGATGGATGTGACGTGGACTTTGTGTGAACACTGTATTAAACATTTCAGGAGCCTGCTTCTGGCCGAACACGTCCCTGCTGCTGCCAGAGGAAGTGGGAGGAGCAAGCAGCGCAGCAGCCAGGGCTGAGGGGGCTGAGAGGGCTGAGAGGGCTGAGGGCTGAGGTGAGCAAAGCAAGAGGAAGCCATTGGGGGGAGGAGCGCACCTAGCCCCGCCCACTGCCCCTCCCCCCTGAGCAGCAGGAGCAGCCCTGCCTCCTGCCCCACCCGACTCCAGCCCCTGCCCCTGCCTGCTGCACAAAGCCCATACCCAGAGCCAGGTCCTGCCTTACCCACCTGTATCCCACCCGTGGTCCAGTGCTACAAGAGTCTGGGTTGGGGTCTTTAAAACCATTAGAGGGAAATAATAAACAAAAGGAGAATGACTTTCTTTTTATAAAAAAACACCAAAAAACAAAAAACATACCTTATAAATCAGATGGTTAAAGTAACACATACCTGTGCTTAAAAACTTGGAAAAAAATAATAATTAAAGTTGCTTTCAGAGTGTCTGTTAATACCTGAGGCTGTCTCTGACTGCAGCTTACAACCTCAGAGCATCATTTCTGGGTGAGGTGACAGAGGCCACAGAAAGACAGGTGGGACCTGCAGGCTGACACCCAACCCGGGTGCACTGCAGATGCCACCAGACTGTTGTCACCACAGCCTCCACCTGGAGCTCTCCAACGTCCCTCCATGACAGGAGGGGTCCTTCCAGCCTGGGAACTCGACCTCAACAGTGCTTAGGTCTCATCAGTGACCCCACCTCCTCAGCAAGCCTGCCCCGGTGACCTGCAGGGGATCAGTGCCCCATCAGGGCAGCCAGGAGAGGTCACCTGGGCTTCTGAGCCTGGCTGAGTGAACAAGAGGCCAGGTCCCGGCAGTGGGACCCTGCAGATGGGCTCCAGGCTGGCTGTGCCTGCCAGCCCCTCCTCACTGCCCTGCCCGCTGGGCCCAGCCAGGCTCCTGGAGAGGCTGAGGCAGCTTAGGGACAGCAGCTCCGAGGAGGCCAAGTGCTTGGTGGTGGCCGACAAAGAGGGGGAGGCCGCCCAAGCTGTGGGTCTTCTGTAGGCCCGGGGCCCCCGTTGGAAGCCTCTGCAGCCCCAGGCTTGTGCGTCCCCGAATCTCTGCCTTTCCCTTTGGCAGTAGAAGCCTCCCCCTCCATAGTCCTGCCTTTGGTTTCTGTGATGGAAACGCAGCTGTGAGGAGGCTGGAAGCCCCAGGAGTCATTAGGCTGGAAACTCGGTCCCGTAGTGCCTCAGGTGCTCATCCGCCACTGACATGTAGGTGGCCCTCATGCTGGGGGAGTACTGTGGGGGGAGAAGAGAGGGGACAGTCAAAGCAGGTGACCATGCCACGGAGCCAGACTAACTGAACATTGTAGTAAAGGGGTGGGGACTTCTCAAAGGAGAGGCAGACCCGCTGTAGAAGCAGGCAGCTACCGGGTTCTAATCCCAGTGTACTGTGGGGACTGAGGGGTACCGCAGAGGCCTGGCCAGGCAGCGTCTCCAGCTAGATGGCTGGGAGGTGGGAGGAGGACTCCTGGCGCCCAGCCTCAAATGCAAAAGCCATTCACAGACCAGCCATCCTCCCTCTGCCACGAGGCAGGCACCACACACAGAGGGGATAACGTCCAGGCTGTTCTCACACCGGGGACAGCTGCAGGGGGCACCAGTGAAGCCAGGAGCCCGCCAGCCAAGCTGTGCCACCAGAGCCTATTTAAATTCAGGTCTAAACTCCAGGGAGGAAGGTTCACTCTGTCCTTGAACCTTGCAGATAAAGTCCGTTCCTGCCGCTCTCTGCCAGTAGCAGGGGGAAGGCCCTGAACGCTTCCCAAACAAGGTCACCCAAGTCCTTTTAGGCTGGCAGGAGGGATGCTTTTTTCACAGATTCTTCACACTCCTCCCCGTTATGTTTTGTTTGGATTCATGTTAAATTTAGTTTGCTTTCCTGGATCCGACAGAGGGGGGAGGTTTTCCGTGAGCAAGGAAGCCAGGCTGGGATTTAAAATGACAACGCAGACTGACCAGCTCACCCTCCCTTCCCGAGGGTCCCAGAAAGGGAAAGCATCAGCCGGTCTGGTGCTGCTTGCAAAGTTGCTTAGAAGTCTGGCAGGAGTGGCACACTGGGGAGGAAGAGCCAGGAGTCACGGGAGGGAAGGACGGGGACCTCTTCGAGCAGCGGCACCGCTGACGTGTGGGGCCCGGCCATCCCGTGGAGTGGGGGCCGCCCTGGGCACTGCGGGATGTCTAGCAGCATCCCTGGCCTCCGCCGGTAGCACCCTCTCTCGAAGCGTCTGCAGACACTGCCACAAGTCTCCTGGGGAGCAAAACCACCCCTGCTCCGAGGTCTGCTCAGGTGCCACCTACTCCACAGAACTGTCTGGGATACCCAGGGCACAACAGATGGCTCCTTCCCTTCTGGTCCCAAAACACCATTGCTGATGCCGTTAGGTGCCAACAGCTCTGATTCACAGCGACCCCATGAACAACATAACGCAACGCTGCCCAGTCTTGCGCCATCCTCACGACCCTTGACCCATCGTTGCAGCCACTGTGCCACTCCACCTCGCTGAGGGTCTTTCCGTTTTTCGCTGACCATGCTTTACCAAGCATGATGTCCTTCTCCATCGGCACTTTGTTACGGGCAGTTTTCTCGACTCCCCTCCTGTGGATGGACATTTCCTGAGGACAGCGATTGGGCCCCAGTTCTTTCCCTGGGTCCAGTGCTACGACTTTCAGGTTAAACGTCAGGTCTGGGAAGCTGGTTCAGTGATGCCCATGAGCATCCTGGGGCCTCAGGTCCCAAGCCCTACTCATCAGTCCCCTTTACTTGGGTCTCCAGTGTTGTCCGTCTCCTCCCAGAACACCTGGATGTGGTAGGTGAAAGGCAGCCTATAGTGCAAGTGAGGGCTTCTTCCCCGGCAAACAGCTGGCTCAGGAACTCTGCCCTTCACCCTTCCTGCAGACTCCCAACCTTGTCTTCTATCCCTTTCCTTAGAAATGCCACACTAATACCAAAAACCAAACCTCCTGCCATCAAGTTGACTGACTCAGAATGACCCTATAGGACAAAGCAGAACAGCCCCCTGCTATCATCTTTACAGAAGCAGACTGCCCTATCTTTCTCCCTTGGAGCAGCTGGTGGGTTTGAACCGCTGACCTTTTGGTTCACAGGTGAAGGCTTTTAACCACTGCCCCACCAGGGGCGCCTTCCTCGAGGGCAGCTTATCGCTGACGTTGAGTTGAGCACATGCGCACAGGGGTGGCTGCTTGGCTGTACTAAAGCCTGGGCTGTTTTCTGGCTCTGCAGTGTCTTCAGTAGGCGGCCCCTGACGCTCACCTCAGGCTGGTTTCACGCTTACCCCAAATAACCTGCCCTGACCTTTTCCTACCTTTGTGGACAGGATTCACTGGACCGGCAGGAGATTTTATTTCTATTACCTCCCCAACAAGAGGCCACATAGCGACTTTGCCATGGAAGGCCAGATTACCGTAGGAGGCGGGGAGCCTCTTCCGATGAGTGGCACATTCTCGTAGCGGGGGTTCCCACCGAAGAGCGCAGCTTGGTTCCTGCAGAGGCAGGGAGGGGGATGCACCCATAGCTATACAAGGTCCCTGTGTGGCATATGCTGGAGTAGGGTGGCGGAGAGAAGAGCTCAGGAGAGGTGTTGCTACCTGAGGTCCCCTGCGCTGTGTACAGCGGGAGTAGGGGTGGAGCTGACAGTTGTGGGAGGGGAGGGGTGTGTGAGAAGGAAGATGAGGGAAAGAACACTCGGAGGGGCCCGGGGAGGAGCAGCAGAGCAGGCCGACAGGTATGAGGAGCAGTGGCCCAGAGGCCTCTTTGGGTTGAGATATGCCCTGGGGCCATGCGGGTGGGCAGGGGGCAGCAGGTGCTCTCTGGGGCCTTCAGAGTGGTGACCTCGGGGCTGGAGAGGGCAGTCCCTGTGTGGCCTTTATGCCTCCCCTTCCCCACCTGGCTCTTGACCTGAACATGCAGTCCCACAGTCCCCCCTTCTAGGGCCTAGCTGGGATGTGTGCCCCCATCCCGGCTCCTGCCGTACATGTACTCGGAGACAGGGGCATTGGAGATGGTCTGGGCCGGGGGCTGCAGGCTGGTCTGGCTGCCCAGGCCGCTGCTGTAACTGCAGAAGCTGTGAAGGGGCCCCCGCGGGGGATTGTGGGTGGCGATGCGCCGGGCCTGGGGGTTAAAGGGGTCATCGTCATCGATGTCGCCGTAGTCCCTGTCCCTGGAACGAGATATGGAAGGCAGACGGCCATGAGAGGCAAAGGAGCCTCCAGGGGTCCTGCCTCCTTCCCAGTCGTGTCTTCCAGTTCTTTCTCTGGCCAGATGCGTCTCTTTAAGTCTCTTCTAAAACACAGTCCTCAGCCATGCCTCCCACCGACCCACTCTTCCCCTCCTCAACTTCACGCCCACCTCCTCCTCCAGGAAGCCCACCATTCTGACTATGCACACAGACCCTGCTTCCTCATACTGGGTCCACTTATGAGGGGCTGAGCCACAACCTTGTCTGTCTGTCCACAATGGGCTTCTCTGACAACAATGTCTGCAACTGATCCTTGGTGTGCCCATGCCCCGGGCACCTCTCCCAGTCCCCCACTGCCCACGAAGTCCTGCCCAGGAAAAGACAAGGGATGCCAGCTCCACGGGGCCATCACCATCCTCAACGCCCCTGCTCTGGCCCTGGAACCTCCCTCTGGGGGTCATGTTCCCTCTGGGGGTCTGTCTGGGCTCTCAGGGAAGCTTCTGCAGAAATCCAGCCAGCCTCTGGGGGCCAACAATGCCCCGGCCCCCTGCCTCCCTCAGCCCAGGTTATCAGCCCCGGCTCCGGCACAGAGCAGAGCCTCCCAGCTGCTCCCCCAGGAAGGCCCCAGACAGCAGAAGGCTCCCTCCTTACCTGGTGGTCAAGTGCTTCCAGGCCCGCGGCCCTGCGCAGATCATGGTGGAGAAGGCCAGGGCGGCCAGGAGGGAGAAGAGGCCGAGGTAGAGCAGTCCCTCCATGCCATCGTAGCAGATGCCAGTGAGGGCGTCCAGGTAGTCCTGGGGGAGGAGGAGGAGGAGGAGGGCGTTGGGCAGGGAGGAGGCTCTTCTCGGAAGCCCTTCTGCTGGCCGCTTCCCATCCTGAGCACTGAAATAGCCACACCCTGGCCCCCTCTGGGTTCACACTCCGGGTTCACCCAACACGCATCTGTGAGCACGGACTGCGTGCTGGCACTGGAGGTCTGGCACCGAAGATGACGGACACAGCTGCTCGGGGCGGGCAGAGCTGAGGAAAGCCTGCCTGGGGGTGGGGAGGCATTTAAGGGGATGCCAGGAGCGTAAGGAGTGCACCTTGACAAGACGAGGCCAAGGGGACAAGCCTGACACGTCCAGGAGGAGAACAAGGCAGCAGGTGGCAGGGTCGGGGGGCCAGGTCATGCTGGGCCTTGGGGGCAGGCAGGAAGCTTGGGTCTCCTCACAGGGGACAGAAGATATGGGAGGGTTTGAGGATGGAAGCGAATGGGACTCAACTCCTTTTACAGCCCCCCGGCTGCCGTGTGCAGAAGTCAGGATGGGGAGGGCCAAGAGAACATGGAGAACAGGACGGTGGATGCCATGGAGAGGGGAGCAGACAGACTCAGGCTACACGTGAGAGAAGGCAGAAGAAGGGCAACTCCCACCGTCTAAGTCAGGGTTCAAACCCAACTCCTTGACCTGCCAGCTCTGGTACCTTCTGTGTTTGACAGTCATCGACACACATACATCTTTTTCCCTCATGTGTAGAATTTCTCTTGAAACATTATCTACGTCATAGTGTACCTGTGAGGCTACACAATGTATTGAATACAACAGGCCCAGGATAGGGCTCAGCATAGAATCGAGTACTGTATTTTTATGCAAATAACACGCACATCACATGTTTTCTCAAACCGTAGTGTGTCTGACATTTCAAGTTCTTGGTGAGGGGACCCTGGCTTTCACTTGCAGCCCAGGCAAAAGGACAGGCTGGGGTCCCCCAGCACTGTAGGGCCAACCAGAAGCTACCCCAGCATGCTTTGTCCCTTTCACCAAGCCTCTGTTTCAGCCACTGGGGAGACAAGCAGCTAGGTACCTCCCTCACCTGCCCACCATCCTGCCTGGCCCGGGAAGCCCAGGCCTCTACGGGCTTTTTGCTGGGGAATGGCCTGCCGTGTGCCCCAGGCCCCCACACGCCCAGGGCCACCCCACACCTTGTGCAGCCCGTGGCAGTTCAGCAGGGCCGTCAGCTGGTGAAGGCTGGTCTCAGACGAGTTCAGCAGGAGCTGGATCGCCAGCAGATCTTTCTGAAGCAGAGTGAGACAGACGCAGACACGTGGGCAGAGAGGATGAGGAGTGGGAGGGCCCACAGAGAAACCCACCCGCAGCACGGAGGGCCAAGGAGCCTGAGTGGCTGGGGGACGGGGAAGGAGCACAGACAAGCACAGCCCAAGTCACAGACGCTGCAGCTGGGGCTCGGCCTTACCTCTGCCGTGGGGAAGAGGGGCACGGCCAGCCGCAGCAGCTGGGCACCCTGGGTCTGCAGGGCTGTCAGTGAGCGCTGGAGGATAGTCAGCACCTGGGTCGGGAGACAGCATAGCCACTGGGGCCCGGGGCTGCTGGGCCCACCCCTGACTGGCCCTTGCCACTGGCAGGCAGTTCCCCTCATTCCTGTGGTTCTGGACAGCTACACGCCTGAGAGTGTGGTCCTTTAATCACAGCACTGGCCTGTCTGGGAGCTTGTCAGAAATGCAGTCCTGGGCTCCACCCTAGACCTGCTCAGGGCTTCGGACTAATTCTTCCTAGTTCAGTCATGGCCGATAAGGGACCCAAGAGTGGACCTGAATTTGTAAAATGTGAGTGAACTGGGACAGTAACTGGAACGGTAAAAATTAGGGGTTGACATCCTGCTAGAAACATAATCTTCCTCCTAGAAAACAAGGCAGCGTGTGTGTTGCATAGCAAACAAATCTCTTGACTGGGAACACCAGAGCCCAGTTCAATCCAATCTCCCCCGTCAGGCTCCTGAAAGGGCTCACTGCGCCTCTTCCCAGTCTCTCATTCCAGGGCTTTGACCTGTAATTTCTCCGTCTGGTTATTGTTTTGCTTCACCCCAATTTTAAAATTCGGGTCTGTTCCGATTTCGCTTTGTCAGCCATGACCAAACTCGGTTGAAGCCCTGGACTTACTCACACCATCTGCCTTTGATCCAGCTCCTACATGATGGGGAAGGTGCTGGTGGTGCAAGGGTTAAATGCTTGGCTGTTAATTAAAGGTTGGTGACTCCAACCCACCCAGAGGATCTGGGGCAGAAAAGCCTGGAGATCTGCTCCTGTAAAGAAAGCCCCAGGGGGCAGTTCTACCATCACATGGGGTCGCTAGGGGTCAGAACTGAGGAGGTGCTTGCAGGTTAACGAGACGCTGATTAGGCCCTGTGGCTGAGGGCACTGCCCCTTCAGGGAAGTAGCTGGGCAGAGGACCCAGTGGAGCTAGGTACTCTCGCCACCTCCAGGTCCCTCCTGACTGGTCAGTGCTGGGGTGTGGGCTCAAGAGGGAGGGAGTGGATGGAGGGGCTCTGGGCGGGGTGAGGGCTGGCCTGGTGGGCTGTACCTGTTGGAAGGGACTGCTCCCGGTCTGGCTGCAGTACAGGTAGTAGCGGGTCACCTCTGCAAGGCAAAGCCATTGGTGTCAGATTGGAGCTCGCAAATGACCCGCTGGCCTAGCCAGGTTTCCCAGAGAATGGCATTTCCAGGAAATGGCCCAGAGGTCCAGCTGGCCTTGAAGTCCAGGGGCAAGGAGGGGCTGGCAACTACAGCACTGAGGGGTAAGTCGAGGCATAGTCTGGCTGGCCACATGGGCCTAGCCTGGGTTCCAGAGCGGCCCTGGGCAGCAGAAGCTGGACAGCTCATTACCTGTGCTGATCTGACCCTGCGTGACGTTCAGGATGAAGACGTCGGGAGCCACACAGAAGTCGCTGGTGCCCTGAGCCAGGGAGAGACGGGAATGAAGCAAAGCCAGACACCACAGCGTTGGGAGCGACCAGGCTCCGCTGCCCCAAGCACTCAGGCCCCGTCAGCTCATTCCAGGA